GACAATTTTACAGGTACTTTAAGTTGCATTTCCGCAACTCTAGAAAACTGCTTGATCAGCAAGGAAGTTGATACTACGAACCTATGTTGAAACAACATGCATGTGTGTATGCATATAAACTGCACTACCAATTTCACCAACATCAATTAGACCCAAGATAAGCTAATTATGCATGTGAGGCACTGAGTATATATCCATACAAGCATAACTGAAATAATTTTGTATGGTGAAATAAAACTATAAGCAAAATTTCTTAATTTGCTAGTTGTACCGCAACAATTCCTAGAGGTTCAGGGGAACCAACAGCTATATATACCCCCAATGGATTACGCCAGCGGTTGCATGAAAAACAATGGTTAACATATATATACTTCATGAATATATATAAAAAGTGCATGCAGTGACAATCTCACCAACATCAATTATACTGAAGCTGGAGATAAATGGATCCGAACCAAAAGTTTCATTGGGAATGGACTCCTTCTAGGGGGAAATCTGGTGGCATCCTTTGTGGTCTTAATAAAGAAAAGTTTGATATCCTTATGACCAAATGTGGTAATTACATTCTACAGTTGAATTTGTTCGATAAGAACAAAAACTGTATCTGGGCCCTGATGACTGTATATGGTGCTGCACATGATGAGCAGAAACCTGAGTTCATTGCTGAGCTGTCATCCATGTGTCATAACACTAATATTCCTTATCTGGTCGGGGGAGACTTTAACATCATTCGACATTGCGGGGAGAAAAACAAAAAAACATCTATGTCCCACTTCTCAGAGGTGTTTAATTCTGTTATACATTTGCTGGGGTTGAGAGAGATCTATATGACGGGTGGTTGCTATACCTGGTCTAATAAACAAGAAAACCCAACTCTGAAAAAATTGGATAGAGTTCTCATGTCCCCTGATTGGGAAGATTTATACCCCCTCGTTTCTGTGCATAAATTGGTAAAGGAGATTTCAGATCATAATCCCTTGTTGGTTGATGGTGGGAGAGCTTCCTCTAGAGCACCTGGTAATAGGTGTTTCAGGTTCGATAACGCTTGGCTCAGTAACCCAGACTTCCTTCCTCTGGTTGCTGATATTTGGTCTAGGCCAGTTTACACTATAAACCCCATTGACTCCCTGAATATTAAACTTAAAAGAATTAAGAAATTTTTTAAGGGGTGGGGGTCCAATTTGTTTGGTCATAATAAGATCAGAAAGAATATCATCAAGCTTGAGCTACAGGAGCTTGAAAATCTGGAGGAGATTGATGGTTTAAGCGGGGAGGCTTATACTAGAAAGTTGGAAACTCTAGTGGAGCTTAATAATATGTATGTTGAAGAAGAACTTCACTGGCATCAATTTTCTAATGAGAGGTGGTTGTTGAAAGGAGACAATAACACTGACTTTTTCCACAAAGTAGCTAATGGATGCCGTAGGAAAAACTCCATGATCTCCCTGGAGTGCGGGTCCACTATTATTAAAGGCACTAAAAACCTACTGGCCCATGCTACTGATTACTATAAAACCTTGTTTGGACCTGCTCCTGGCAATATTTGTCAGATAGATGCAGATTTGTGGTCTCAAGATGAGATGATTACTCCTGATGACAATGAGGACCTGACTAGACCTTTCTCATTGGAAGAGATCAAGAAAGCATTATTTGAGATGAAATCCAACCGAGCCCCTGGCCCAGACGATATCCCTATTGACTTTTATCAACACTGCTGGGATGTAGTAGCCCATGATCTCTTATGCCTGTTTGAATGGTTTCATGAAGGCAAGTTAGATGTCCAACGACTTAATTATGGAATCATAACCTTGCTTCCTAAGTCGACTGATGCTAATAAAATCCAGCAGTATAGGCCCATTTGTTTGTTACGTTGCCCTTACAAGTTACTCACTAAAGCCATGGATATTAGAGCTAGCAAATATGCCCATAAATTGTTCAGTATCCAACAGAATGCTTTTATTAAGGGGAGACACATAGTGGATGGGATCCTATCGCTTCAACACACCTCAAAAAACAGGTGGGAGTGGTTCTTAAACTTGATTTCGAGAAAGGATATGACAAAGTCAACTGGGACTTTTTGCTTGATTGCCATAGGAAGCGTGGATTTAGCTCTAAATGGTGTGGATGGGTATCTCAAATCCTAAAAAATGGCACGGTTAGTGTCAAGATTAATGATGAGGTAGGTCCTTACATTCAAAGTGCTAAGGGGGTGAGACAGGGGGACCCTCACTCCCCTTTCCTGTTCAATATTGCGGCTGATTGCCTAACCAAAATGGTCCTTACAGCTCAAAAAAATGGCCTCATTAAAGGGTTAGCCACTGATCTTATTGAGAATGGTGTTGACATTCTTCAATATGCGGATGACACGGTGCTTTGTTTTGAACATGATATTGACAAAGCTGTTAATATGAAGCTCTTGCTGTATCTCTTTGAACTTATGCCTGGGCTTAAGATCAACTTTGAGAAGAGCGA